GTCACATGTCATGAACTCTGAACATGGATTGGCTCCCTTATGTCACATGTGATGACTGTAAACATAGCTTTATTCCACATTAAAGAATAGATTAATTGTCAACTGAATTTCCAGAAAATAATATAATTGCTTTAGATTTTAATCTTACATTTTAAACAACTGTTTCAATGTTATTGGAAGCAAATACAAATTAATCAGCATGATATACATATACCTTATATAATAAGTTCATTTTAAAGTCTCTCTTCCTTGTATCTCAATCTCACTGGTCCTTAGTCCCTATGCCTCATTCAATAACACCAAACACAGAAAGCACTGCAGTATATTGATGCTGGAATTTGGAAATGTAATAAACTGAGAGAAGCATTTAAATACATTTTATATTATTATAGTTTCTGGGGTAACACTATTGGATGCAATTCAAGATAAAGTTCCAACATTTCATGGAATGAAATTTACATCCAATGATCTCTATGACTTTGCTCGTTGCATGGATCACCCAACTGGTGGAAAATACCAGGTGTTCAGTTCATATGATCAGGTATGTCATTACACACAATCTGGTGGCCATTTTGACAGTTATACTACAAATATAGTGGCCATTTTGATTCCTACAAATTTACACTACAGTCTAGCTACATAATATTTTTTCATTTCAGCTTCTGCTGCCCTCTCTTGCTCTAGGAGGAGAAGCATTCGTTGGCTGGTGAGTAAATATTTTCATTTTTTTTTTATTTTCCAAAACAATTGATGGCTGGAAAAACTGTTTCCATTTTGTCCAAAAAAATAACAAATTATAGAAAAATATAAAAAACATTTATATATGTTATTTATAACAAATCTAGACATATAATAAAGCATGCAATAAAAATTCTTCAGCAGTTTCAGTCATCACTTTGACCTAATTGTACACTCATACCTCCCAAAAACTTATTTCTGGTCTAATTGTTTTTAAAAAATGGGGTAATTGGTTCACACTTTTTTGGTGGTACATACTCTGACCAAAAACGTTATTTTTTCAAGGGTTGTTTTCCTAAATAAAAAATGTATAAAAAAACAAAAATTTAATATTTTCAAATGATCATTATTGCAGTTCACATGTGTATTTCGAAAGTTTAATGACTCTTGTTTTTTGTTTCACAGCCATTATAACTTTATTGGTAGACATGGCAACAGAATATTGGAAGCATATAAAAATGGTGATATGAAAACAGCACAAAAGTTACAGGTGAATGATTCTTCAAAATCAATACTAGTATATTATACAATTGAATGTCCCAAAAAAAAAACTCAATAACACCATTGAGAATTACTGACACATGTGGCAAGCTTCATTCATCTACCGTGTACATATCAATAGGTTGATCTAGCAATTATATCTCAGTATTCAGTGATGTAATTCCTTCAACTTCCCTATCATGCATTAACAATTTAACTTGACTATCTTGATGAAACAGAAATAACATTTATTTACAAGAATGTGTATTTATCTTTTATATTTCAGTATCAGACAAACAAACTGGCTAATCTGATGGACAAATACGGTAGGTACAGTCAATTTTAATTGTGTAGATGTTAGGTTAAAAAAAATATTAAAAAGTTGTACTTGTATTGTACCTCTGAAATGAACACATTGGCTGCTGACATCATTTTTAGTCTCTGTTCAGGCGTAGCCCCCTTTATGTCTCCAACATTTTCTCAGAAATTCTGCAGCAGATATCAATGAAACTTGGCAGGTTTATGAACAAGTCTCTTTTGAATATGCACATAATTTTTTTTTTCAGATCTGAAAATCCTATGTTGATCTTTTTCATGATTTTCATCCAAAATTACTTCTCCTTATTGCACTGAGAGAACAACTGAGCATGCTCAGAATAAAAAAATTAGCTTAGATTGTAATGCAAGGTTTTTAGTGATGTCATGACCTGGTCATGAACTTGATCTGAATCAGTGACAGATGGGTCGTACCATTACCAATCTCAGTCAAAAATGTAGAGGGGTGACAGGGCTACATTTTGATGGGAATTTATAGTCGTGATACTGAAACAAACCCAGGTCCTGGTAATATACAAAGACCTGAATTAACAAAGAAGTCAAGTTGTTATTAAAGATACATCAAATTTTACTCAGATTTATGAATGCAGTTTCTTGAGCATGTATGAGACATAGTTTGGTTGCACTTGTGCACTTGTGAGATTTTGGACCCAGGTCAATGAAAATTTTCAGTTATAAGATTGAGGGAAATCAATTTATGATGAGTTGTACCCACATAGAGTACATATTAATTCAATTGTGTACAGATGTTCCATGTATTATTTTAACATGAGTGTTTTATAATTAAATAACAGGGACTGTGACATTCATGTCTTGTTTTAAGTTAATGTTTGCTATCGAGGCTTTTAGCAAGCAACCTGTATCTGTTCCTTTTAGTGGACATGGTCAACATGGAGTGAGTGTTTGAACAGATAATTTTTTGTTCACTGCAAGTTTTTCGTTCACTGTGAAATCAAACATAAATACAGAGTAAAAAATTCTCATAGCATGCTATGAAGGACATTGTGTTAAAATGTAATCCTCGGGTTGGAGCTACGTCACAAGGCATTCCCTGTTACTAAGAGGCGCACCACTACACCATGTATTTCTATGGGCTATGGGCAAGCTGCTGTGGAACACCGGTAGAAGAGTCGGTGAAAATAGCTAAATTCTAGAAAACAGCACTAAACTTACTTTGAAGTAATCCTCGACAACCAAATTTATATATGTTGCATATGCAGGTATAATCTTCTTACACAAATCCGAGGAATTTCAACAACCATCCCAAAGTATCGTTTTCTGAGAGTTTTCAGCTTTTGTTTTTACCGTGATGGTTGCCAGGCGGTGATGTCAGCCCCCGAAAATAGTACAGCACTATATTTCTTTGAAGTTATGTCAGTTGAAAATGTAACTGTTGAGGCACTGCCCTTTTGTAGCAAATAACATTTAGTGTTCAATTCACACTTTTGCAATGTTAGCATGTGCCATGTGACACTATAGAGGGCGCCATGCAGCTCACCAGTGTTGTTTATTTGTGCCTGTAAACAATCAACATCAGTTTCCCGATGTGAGTTGCACCCAAACTATCTGTTGTATAGCCATCTTCTTTTGTCTTCAGATTGATTATACATTATGCATGCTTGTTATTGTTTACAGGGCATCCTGGTATCAGTAAATACCTTCTTACAATGGTCGGTTTTGACTTTGGACCCCCACGTTATCCAAGTCAGATAATGAATGAGGATCAAATTACTGAACTTAGGAAAGAACTGGACGCTATTGGTTTTTCTGATATGCAAAAATAATATATACCATCATTATTTAATATGGACGTATAATTATCATTTAAAATAAAACATATGTTCTTTGATTGGGTCACTGGTTTGATGTTTATATCAGTAATGTGGGATAATTCTATGTTACTTGTTATTTGGCAGTCATTTTAAATGCAGGCATATCAACAAAAGAAACTGGTTGCAACCTTACCACAAGTTGGCTATGCTTTCAACTATAACTCTTCACCAGTCGCCAACTATTTTTAGATCTGATCATATATGTAATTAAAATGTAATTTTTGCCACCGTTGAAAACATGAATTTCAAATCATTTATTACACCGAGAAAATGAAACCTGCGGTTTGGGTTACATATGTTATATTTTTTTCCCAATTTGTATGTAAAATGGTTACAAGAAAAATAATGCAGTGAAAGCCACAAGGGCTGAAACTATTCAATTTTTTTGCAGAATCAATCTAGTTTTCATGTATAAAGATTCATTATTAAATTTTGATCGTCTTTATGTATAAAGATTGGTCAGACATATAAAATAAAATGCATGTGCTGTATTTGCTCTCTTAAAAGCCCATGTACTTATCGCATTGTAGGTGTGTTTTTACGGAACAAATAAATCATATATTGATGGTACTTTATACAACTTTTTACTGATACATAATACACCAAATCAGAGTCACAATTTCATGCTGTCTCATGAATGTTACAGCGGGGGAGTCTCCACCTATGCATGCGTCGGGTGGCCATAGCGTGTCATTGTTTACAAACAAGCATCTACTTCATGAGCCTTTGTGTTCTTAGCATATGTTGTTATCGCTGCGTGGGACTCAATTCCCACGCATGCACAGATGACGACTCTCTCGCTTTAATCAAAACAGACTTTGAGGAGGGGTGGTGAGTTTTTTTCAAATGTATGGTATTTGTATCTAATATTTACAAATAATATAATACTAATAAAACATTTATTGTCAAAATAAAATTGATTGTTTTCATTTCTACAAATGTATTGTTCTTTTCACACTATCAGTTGTAGAAGTTTGCATAATGTAGGTTATCTGTTTTTAGTCCAAAAACGGGGACTTATAATTCGGTCTCTGTCCGTCCGTGTGTCCGTGCGTCTGTGCATCCATGCGTCCGTTCGGAGTCATATTTCAGAATCCCTCGGACCGATTCCGTTCATTCTTTGCATGTGCCTAGTACTTTATGTGGGACATATGCACATTCAGTGGTTTAGCGATTAGATTCAAAATGGCCGACTGGCAGCCATGTTGTTTTTTGAAAATGTTGTATTTTGGAATGCTTTATCAGTTTTCATTCAAACTTGGTACATAGATTATACACGTTAGGATACATGTCCATGATGATTTATTTCACAATTGGATCAAAGATGGCCGACTGGCAGCCTTCTTGTTTTTTGAAAATGTTGTATTTTAGACATGCTTTGTCAGTTTTCATTCAAATATAGTACATGGATCATACATGTTAGGATACATGTCCCGACCGTCCCTGAGTTCCTGAGTCTGTCCGTTCGTCCGTCCGCCTATGTGTCCTTCCGTCTATGCGTCAGTCTGTCCAGAGTCATATTTCAGAATCATGTAGACCAATTCCGTTCATTCTTTGCATGTGCCTATTACCTTTTGTGGGACATGTGCACATGCAGTTGTTTAGCGATTCGATTCAAAATGGCTGACTGGCAGCCATCTTGTTTTTTGAGAATGTTGTATTCTGGACATGCTTTGTCAGTTGTCATTCAAACTTGGTACATAGATTATACATGTTAGGATACATGTCCATGACGATTTATTTTGCAATTGGATCAAGGATGGTCGACTGGCAGGCATCTTGTTTTTTTATATGCGGTATCTTGGACATGCTCTGTTAGTTTTCATTCAAATTTGGCACATACATTGTAATTTATACATGTTAGGATGCATGTCCATGACAATTTGTTTCAAAATCTTGTCAAGGAAGGACCGATTGACAGCCATCTGACTTTTTGGCCTTACTACTATATTTCCACAA